GTGAGCTCGCTGTGACGTCATCAAACACGCCATCGCACTCAGGCGGAGCTGCCAGATCCCGGGCGAATGTTCTGATCGCAGCGGACCACGACGGAACGTGAACTTACTCTAGGAGATCGTTTGCAACGCGATGCACTTGTACGCATAAGCGAAACGATTTTTTGAAAATATGTCCGAACTGGTACATAAATGATGAAAAAGGATAACATTTCAGCCCAACTGTTTTTATTAAATTGTGGCTCATGGGATAATCTCTATCCCTCCCTATTATATATCCCTCCTCCCCTCGGTCAATTACTATTATGAAAATCAAATTATTGCTCTATTGCTATCAAATTATTAGCACCATCATTCAAACAGCACCATAATTAAAGAACGTGCGAAACTTTCCGCAAACTTTGATAGGCTAGAGCCTGCCTGGTGCTCCTGAATCTCAAAAGGAATGCTTCACATTTTAAAATGTTTAAGCAAGCATCAGACGTGATACAATAAGCTCACCTATAGCTATCTGTAGACTTTTAAGTGAAAGAAGTACTCTAGACAACACAATTTCTTTGTTAAGTAAATATGCTCCTCAACACAAGATTGTTTGATTTCGTCGTCGTACCTTGCACAACATTGATTGCGAGCCAATCGAAGGCCGTTATATCTGGAAATCGTGCTCACGAACGCCAGATATGAACGACCCGACAATTATGCTTCTCTTGGCCTTAATTGCCGCATGGCTGATGAAATGGCAGGATTCAATTGGCATAATGGCGTCATGGATCCCTGGGTACCCTTGAAATAGTCTTCACGAAATAGTCTGTCGATCTCCGCGGGTGCGTATCTTGGAAACTAGAGTGGTTTTGGGTCTGAAGAAGGGCAGGGCTGTGAAGTGCACCGAATGATCTTCAATGTGGCTATTTTAGTTCAAGGCCCCATACAACTGTGAAACACTCCTTTAATATCGAACCCACGGGCGTTTTGTAGAAACATTTGACTTTGCCTGATAATGTACGCCCTCCCAAACGATTTCAAAGTCCCATCAGTAGTGTTAATGCGCCGGACCATTGCAAGCGCTGGTCGCACAGCATCAGCTCTTTTTGAAGGCAGCGTTCCACCTTTTTTGGCTTTTCACTTATTGTTACATCAGGTGCGTCCAATTTGATCAGTAATACCAATACTGTCCAAATCCCTCTGAATAGCTCAGAATTTTGATTTGAAGTATCTGACCCTGCGGGACAAATATCATTGAACCCCATGTTCATCACTATAAAAGTAATACATTTCGTTTCAGTTGTTTTTTCCAACGTGTGTGTTCCGTAATGTTTGCAATACACTAATTTATCAAAATGTTTGTGTCATAAATGCCAAGAAACCTTCAAACACTCTGTGTTTCATGTGCAAACATGAAGCTTTTCAAGTGAATTCAACGAAAAGCAAAATGATGGTTTCGATTTCTTCCCCATGACCTTTACCACAGTGGCTCTTTTTGAAGCGCACTTTGACTTTCGGAATGGGAGTATCACATGATTCATGTGACGCACCGGTTCAAACCTCAATCAATGTGCTCCTCGGTAGCAGGCCCTTGCCCGCCACCCGCCAGGCCAATCACAAGCGCTCTTCTACTCGCACCTGATGTGCACACGGTGGTTGTCATGACGACGGTGGTCGCGGCTGCAGGACGAAGTGCAGTGCTGTCACAATGCACTGATAGCGTGATTTGGGCTCCAAATAATTGAAATTGATATCCGTATGATGTCTTAACGATGCTGCAACGGCATTGTCCAGTGCTTTTATTAGACGTAACTGGTCCTGAGGTTTAACAATAGTATCTTTTTGAAGTATGTCCCAAAGGTGGAACATTTTCTTAAATGAAAGACGCCCATTCACACGAGGTAGCTCTATTTGCACCGAGGCACATTCTGTCTCCGTCAGTACCTAAGCCTCCGAGAAAATAATGGCGGCTAGTCATGTTGTTCTGTTTCAAGAATCACTTTGGCATTATTTGATTCCGCACGGAGAGAAAACCGACTATGTTTGGCGTCGAATGGGCCTGCTATTGGTAGCACTGTAACAACGCTTGTGACGCAGTTATGACCGGAAAATTCACCACATCGAGCGCATCAAGTCTTCGCAGCCCTGCGGATACCGGATCAAGCCACACAACACTTTGTTGAAGCACACTGCCACTGGCCGGGATAAGTAACATTAACCTTGAGCATTGTACTCGAATAGCTGGTCTGATTGGCTTGGCTTTGATCAAGGCTTCGCTGGCAGCTTGTTCGGTCCGGTTCAATCATTGCGTTGCACCGGAATCGAACAAGCGCGGATTGGTTTCGCTGCGCAGCTGCGCTTTATGCATACTTTGTATCGTACACGAGCGGTTCAATAATGACTTACCAATGACACACGCACGTGCTAAATGGTGCGTGTGTGACAGCATGCAGCGCCAGAACATACCTCACGCATTATTCTTTTGATGGGCTGCTTCGGCGCGTGTATGGTTTCTTTGTTCGGTGCTTCCGTCAGTTTGGAAGAAAAGAAAAAAACACCCAAATGTTTTAAAGAAAGTTTGCATGTTTGTTCCACCATTTCTAAAGAAAAGACATCCATATATTTACAAAATGTTGCGTATTTCTGCAGGAGATTTCCTTTGTCAGCTGATAGACGTGTTTCTGATAAATGTTGAAATGTTTTAGAGGTCCCTGGTCTCTACGCACTTTTTGATACCGCGGAACGATGACATTTTCCCGAAATGCGGCAACTCGTGGATAAAGTCCAGGAGCACATGGCACCATACTGGGCGTTGAGTGTTTGCCAACATTCTTTAGAACATTTAAGCTACATTGTTTAACGTGAAGAAGATCCAAGACTGGACTGCTCTGCAGCGCTGGCCTTGGTTTTTGCTATACATCACTATTCATTTCATACGTTAAACATTGATCAACCCCCCACAAGCATATCATCGGGCATAGTTGAACTCTAATTCTCTCAAAGAAACCCTGCTCCTCCTCCTAAATGCTTGTCTCGGCCATCCCCAGAATTGAAGAAAATCATCAAAAAATTTCCATAAACCACATACAACAACGCAAGCCTCTCTAAGGCCTATGTAGCTCAAATCCGTTGGGCAGATATGGCTATCGGCACCCTCACTGGCTCAATCAATTCAAGTAAATTCACTGCAAGCATATCGTCGACCATGGACGAAGCTCTATATCTCTTTCAAGGAAGTCCTGCCTCTCTCCCTCAAAGTTACCTCGGCTCCTCAATGAGTATGACAATGATCAAAGTGTGTCGTTGATCCTGTCACGCTATGTGTCAATCTGACACAGTCAATATGCATCACAGTAATCTCTTCGAACAATCTCTTCGAGTTTGCATCCCCCTCTCTCCCCCTCCTTTTGTCCATTCCTCCCTCTCTCCCGTACCGTCAGTGCGTGATCAATAATGCACTCACCTGAACGCGCGGAAACGTACTTACCGCTGACACACTGCCCTCGCGAGCGTCCGAGCGGAATCGTTTTTCCGCGTGGCGTGCGAGCCGTGCCGGCACGCGGCTCTATAGCCCACGTCTGCACTGCGGCGACGCCGGGCCAAACCCGCGTCTCGCTGCTGCCCGCGCCACGCCGCGCCGCCGATAGCACGGACACGCTGGTGTCGTCGGTGCGCCTTGCTCCCTACCCCACTTTTGAGAAAGTTGCTCATCAACACTATGACGTTTAATGGAAAGCATCGCCTTCAAAATTGGCATCTCCACCCCCATCTCCCACCCCATCTACCTCCCAGCCCACTCAACACCCTTCTCATTTTCGGTTATGATCGTGCGCAGATGGCTGGGTTGCGGGGTCACGGTGCTGCTCGCATTATCACCATCATATATATATATATATATATATATATATATATATATATATATATAATACGTATAAGAATATGTAGCTGTTGCTTCAACGGTTTATGAATGCATTTTCAAAACGGCTTAATATTAAGCAGGCGTATGCTTGATTTGGACCTAGATCTATGATGGGCGAAAGGGGCTTCAGTTCCTTACATGTTCTGGAGCCATATTGGTGTTTTATCCTTAGTTCGAGAGGCCCTTCTCAGCTTACAAATGGCTCGCGCGGCCAAGCGATGCCTATCTGCACAACAGGCATGCATGCTTTTAAAGTGAGCTTGCTATAAATTAACGGAGACTGGGGATCAAAACCAATTTCAGTGTAGCATGGTTTGCTTTCATGTTCTTCTTAGCTGGCAGAGCACAGCAATAACCCAATTTGTAAGTTGTCAGGTGCGCTTGCAAGGAACATTATGCATGTAATGAAATAGTATTAATAACCTTATTACTTGTAGAAGAAACAGGGGAACGGAGAGGTATATGTGATATTTCGGCTAAATGTTTTAATCGAAATGATCAGTGATATTTTATCTGGTATGCGTTGCGATAATAGCATGAAGCCGAAATATCACATCAATCTATCCTCCTGTTTACTCGACGAGGAACAATGCCATCTATGCCGGCTCAGCTATAACCTAATCTTTAAAAGTTACTGGGCTTCTAACTCTATCTACTGCAGTGGTGCTTACTTCAGTCTTAAAGTGTTGCGTGTTTGCATATGTATGTACATAAATATCAGTTCTACCACAACGTTATTTGCGGTGCTTTTGGAAGCTATCAAAGCCTAGAGCATTTACCTTACTATCCCGGGCGTTTCAAATCTTCTTTCGGCCACTTGCACTGTCTTGGAAGAGCTGCGAAGCCGGCGCGCGGAAGGCTTTTCCGGCGCGATGCTCCAGACGTCAGCTGACGCGTGGAGCCGAGACCGCCGGCCGGAGGACACGCGTCGGAGGCCGGCACGAGCCCGCGCAATGACGCGCCGAAATCCGAGAAGTGAAATCCGAGGAGTGTGAAATCCGTGAAATACCCGCTGGTTGTGGTTCTGGAGATGCAATAACATTGCGCATAAGGCCTCCTGAAGAAAAAGCTACATGACAGCTACTTTTATCATACGAAAGAT